GTTCTGTGCTAATGCTAGTGGGGATTTCAAAGTGAAGCCGTTACTAGTGTTACCATTCTGAAAATCCCAGAGCATTTAAGAAAAATAATGTTATGAAGAGTAAATGTGTGTGTTTTGGAAATCTAATAATAAGGCATGGGTCACGAGGGAAATTTTTGTGGGGTGGTTCAACGAAGTGTTTGGCCCTAGTGTGAAGAATTACCTCCTGGAGAAGAAATTGGATCTTAAGTGCCTGCTAGTAATGGACAATGCACTGCTCATCCACCAAACTTGGATGACCCAATTCTGGAAGGAGTTTGGGTTCATCTCAGTAAAGTTCTTGCCCCCAAATACCACTCCTCTCCTCCAACCCATGGACCAGCAGGTCATTGCAAACTTTAAAAAACTGTCACCAAAGAATGTTTGAAAGGTGCTTCAATGTGACCCCAGACACTCACTTGACCCTACGAGATTTTTGGAAAGAACATTTCAGTATTTTCCATTGTTGTAAGCCTTATAGGTAAGGCTTGGGGGGGAGTGTTACCAGGACTTTGAACTCTGCTTGGAGAAAATTGTGGCCAGATTGTGTCGACCCAAAAGGGATTTGGAAGGGTTTGGGGTGACCTGATGAGCCTTGTCGTTTTGAACTTATTGTGGCATGGGAGTTCCATGGGTTGGATGTGGTTTGGAGGATGTGGAGAGTTGGTGGAGGACCAACGAAGAGTAACCATGAGGAGCTGCAAGAGCTTCAGCAGGAAGAGCAACAGATCGCAAGCTCAGAATCTTGCTGCCCGAGGAGGAGGAAGAGAAATGGAAGAAGGTGCCTTCTTCGAAATTAAGGAGATTTTTACTATGTGGGGTAAGATGGAAAGATTTATGGAGAAACATCACCCAGGAAGGGAAAGTTGCAAGCCATATCGGCAACTTGTACAGTGACAGAGTCTTGGCCCATTTTAGGGAAGTTTTAAAGAGACGCCAGAAACAGAGCTCTCTGCACAGTTATTTTGCGAGACAGGACTCCAGTGATCTCAAGCTGGGGCCTGTGGCATTAAAAAACAGAGAAAAGAAGCAACCCCAGAAAATCAAATGGTACCTGAGGTGTTGCTGGAAGGGGATTCCCCTTCCAAACTATAAACAATCCCTCTCTCCTCCTCCTCCAGTCTCCCATACCCCTAAGAAGAATCTCCAAAGGTAAGTGTTATGCTGTTAATGTTTCATTCATCATTTCCCATGTATTGTCTATGTACTACATGAATATTTCATGTAAAAAATTTTTTTGTTTTAATACTTCTGGGTGTCAGGAACGGATTAATTGAATTTACATTATTTCTTATGGGGAAAATTGATTCGTAAATCGACCATTTCGATAATCGACCGGCTTCCAGGAACGGATTACCGTCGATAATCGAGGGACCACTGTATATATATATATATATATATATATATTATATATATATATATATATATATATATTATATATATATATATATATACAAATATATTATTTTTTTATTTTTTTATTATCACACTGGCCGATTCCCACCAAGGCAGGGTGGCCCGAAAAAGAAAAACTTTCACCATCATTCACTCCATCACTGTCTTGCCAGAAGGGTGCTTTACACTACAGTTTTTAAACTGCAACATTAACACCCCTCCTTCAGAGTGCAGGCACTGTACTTCCCATCTCCAGGACTCAAGTCCGGCCTGCCGGTTTCCCTGAATCCCTTCATAAATGTTACTTTGCTCACACTCCAACAGCACGTCAAGTATTAAAAACCTTTGTCTCCATTCACTCCTATCAAACACGCTCACGCATGCCTGCTGGAAGTCCAAGCCCCTCGCACACAAAACTTCCTTTACCCCCTCCCTCCAACCTTTCCTAGGCCGACCCCTACCCCGCCTTCCTTCCACTACAGACTGATACACTCTTGAAGTCATTCTGTTTCGCTCCATTCTCTCTACATGTCCAAACCACCTCAACAACCCTTCCTCAGCCCTCTGGACAACAGTTTTGGTAATCCCGCACCTCCTCCTAACTTCCAAACTACGAATTCTCTGCATTATTTTCACACCACACATTGCCCTCAGACATGACATCTCCACTGCCTCCAGCCTTCTCCTCGCTGCAACATTCATCACCCACGCTTCACACCCATACAAGAGCGTTGGTAAAAACTATACTCTCCATACATTCCCCTCTTTGCCTCCAAGGACAAAGTTCTTTGTCTCCACAGACTCCTAAGTGCACCACTCACTCTTTTTCCCTCATCAATTATATGATTCACCTCATCTTTCATAGACCCATCCGCTGACACGTCCACTCCCAAATATCTGAATACGTTCACCTACTCCATACTCTCTCCCTCCAATCTGATATCCAATCTTTCATCACCTAATCTTTTTGTTATCCTCATAAACCTTACTCTTTCCTGTATTCACCTTTAATTTTCTTCTTTTGCACACCCTACCCAAATTCATCCACCAATCTCTGCAACTTCTCTTCAGAATCTCCCAAGAGCACAGTGTCATCAGCAAAGAGCAGCTGTGACAACTCCCACTTGTTGTATGCTTCTTTATCTTTTAACTCCACGCCTCTTGCCAAGACCCTCGCATTTACTTCTCTTACAACCCCATCTATAAATATATTAAACAACCACGGTGGCATCACACATCCTTGTCTAAGGCCTACTTTTACTAGGAAAAAATTTCCCTCTTTCCTACATACTCTAACTTGAGCCTCACTATCCTCGTAAAAACTCTTCACTGCTTTCAGTAACCTACCTCCTACACCATACACTTGCAACATCTGCCACATTGCCCCCCTATCCACCCTGTCATACGCCTTTTCCAAATCCATAAATGCCACAAAGACCTCTTTAGCCTTATCTAAATACTGTTCACTTATATGTTTCACTGTAAACACCTGGTCCACACACCCCTACCTTTCCTAAAGCCTCCTTGTTCATCTGCTATCCTATTCTCCGTCTTACTCTTAATTCTTTCAATTATAACTCTACCATACACTTTACCAAGTATACTCAACAGACTTATCCCCCTATAATTTTTGCACTCTCTTTTATCCCCTTTGCCTTTATACAAAGGAACTATGCATGCTCTCTGCCAATCCCTAGGTACCTTACCCTCTTCCATACATTTATTAAATAATTGCACCAACCACTCCAAAACTATATCCCACCTGCTTTTAACATTTCTATCTTTATCCCATCAATCCCGGCTGCCTTACCCCCTTTCATTTTAACCTACTGCCTCACGAACTTCCCCCACACTCACAACTGGCTCTTCCTCACTCCTACAAGATGTTATTCCTCCTTGCCCTATACACGAAATCACAGCTTCACTATCTTCATCAACATTTAACAATTCCTCAAAATATTCCCTCCATCTTCCCAATACCTCTAACTCTCCATTTAATAACTCTCCTCTCCTATTTTTAACTGACAAATCCATTTGTTCTCTAGCTTTCTTAACTTGTTAATCTCACTCCAAAACTTTTTCTTATTTTCAACAAAATTTGTTGATAACATCTCACCCACTCTCTCATTTGCTCTCTTTTTACATTGGTTCACCACTCTCTTAACCTCTCTCTTTTTCTCCATATACTCTTCCCTCCTTGCATCACTTCTACTTTGTAAAAACTTCTCATATGCTAACTTTTTCTCCCTTACTACTTCTCTTTACATCATCATTCCACCAATCGCTCCTCTTCCCTCCTGCACCCACTTTCCTGTAACCACAAACTTCCGCTGAACACTCTAACACTACATTTTTAAACCTACCCCATACCTCTTCGACCCCATTGCCTATGCTCTCATTAGCCCATCTATTCCCCAATAGCTGTTTATATCTTACCCTAACTGCCTCCTCTTTTAGTTTATAAACCTTCACCTCTCTCTTCCCTGATGCTTCTTTTCTCCTTGTATCCCATCTACCTTTTACTCTCAGTGTAGCTACAACTAGAAAGTGATCTGATATATCTGTGGCCCCTCTATAAACATGTACATCCTGAAGTCTACTCAACAGTCCTTTATCTACCAATACATAATCCAACAAACTACTGTCATTTCGCCCTACATCATATCTTGTATACTTATTTATCCTCTTTTTCTTAAAATATGTATTACCTATAACTAAACCCCTTTCTATACATAGTTCAATCAAAGGGCTCCCATTGTCCTTTACACCTGGCACCCCAAACTTACCTACCACACCCTCTCTAAAAGTTTCTCCTACTTTAGCATTCAGGTCCCCTACCACAATTACTCTCTCACTTGGTTCAAAGGTTCCTATACATTCACTTAACATCTCCCAAAATCTCTCTCTCTCCTCTGCATTCCTCTCTTCTCCAGGTGCATACACGCTTATTATGACCCACTTCTCGCATCCAACCTTTACTTTAATCCACATAATTCTTGAATTTACACATTCATATTCTCTTTTCTCCTTCCATAACTGATCATTTAACATTACTGCTACCCCTTCCTTTGCTCTAACTCTCTCAGATACTCCAGATTTAATCCCATTTATTTCCCCCCACTGAAACTCTCCTACCCCCTTCAGCTTTGTTTCGCTTAGGGCCAGACATCCAACTTCTTTTCATTCATAACATCAGCAATCATCTGTTTCTTGTCATCCACACTACATCCACGCACATTTAAGCATCCCAGTTTTTAAAAGTTTTTCTTCTTCTCTTTTTAGTAAATGTCTACAGGAGAAGGGTTACTAGCCCATTGCTCCCGGCATTTTAGTCGCCTCATACGACACGCATGGCTTACGGAGGAAAGATTCTTTTCCACTTCCCCATGGACAATAGAAGAAATAAAGAAGAACAAGAGCTATTTAGAAAAAGGAGAAAAACCTAGATGTATGTATATATATATGCATGTGCATGTCTGTGAAGTGTGACCAAAGTGTAAGTAGGAGTAGCAAGATATCCTGTTATCTAGCGTGTTTATGAGACAGAAAAAGAAACCAGCAATCCTACCATCATGCAAAACAGTTACAGGTTTTTGTTTCAGTCATCTGGCAGGACGGTAGTACTTCCCTGGGTGGTTGCTGTCTACCAACCTACTACCTATGACATATATATATATATATATATATATATATATATATATATATATATATGTCATAGGTATATATATATATATATATATATATAATATATATATATATATATTATATAATATATATATGCATTGCATCCAGAGGGCTTGTAGCAGCGATTCTCCCTGAACATCTTAGGGACAAGATTGGAGTCCAGGACCAAAAGTTCATTGACGGAGCCATGATCTGGGATAATCTAACGGGATCTGAAACCAGACCTGCTCTCCCCAACAACTACAAGCAGTCGCACTGGGATGGCCCGATAGTGGAGAAAATAGCCTCAACAATGCTTCAGTGTGTCAGGGAAGGATAGAGCATGCCTCCTGGCAGTGAGAGCTCCTCATGCAGGGGACTTTCTGTTGGCTGTTTCCAACTCTAGCCTTGGCACACGACTCGACCCACAGACCATGCGCACTGGTGTTGCCCTTCGACTTGCCGCCCCTATTCTCGCCGAACACAGGTGTATTTATGGCGGTGAAGCAGCAGACCGATTCGGGTCCCATGGTCTTGTGTGCTGTAAATCTGAGGGAAAGATTGCAACACATGAGGAGGTTAATAACATTATCAAGAGGAGCCTCACAGCAGCCGGATGCCCAGCAGTAAGGGAGCCACCCCAACTATGCAGATCTGATGGCAGCCAGAAGCATCCAGGTGGTATCACCCTTCAAGCCTGGACAGACGGTAAGCAGGTGGTGTGGGACTATACATGTGCATCTACCTTGGCTGATACCTATCTTCAATACACCAGGGAGGAGGGATGGGCAGCCGCCAGCTTCAGGGAGTCCCAAAAATCTAGAAAATATGGAGAACTTGCCCATCATTATATGTTTGTTCCCATAGGCTCAGAGAGTCTTGGTTCATGGAGAAAGAGTGCATCTAAGTTCCTTAAGGAGCTAGGCAAAAGACTCATCAGGGTAACTAGGGATCCCAGGGCAGCTAGTTTTCTGTTGCAGCTACTCGGCACTGCTGTTCAGAGGGGTAATGCCTGCTGTATTCTGGGCATGCGCCCCAGTTCTGAAGAGCTGGGTGAGATTTTCGCATTATAATCAAGTGACCAACACGTAACAATATGTACTAGACATGTATCTCTCACATCTCATGTACTGTACATGCAATCTTTATATTTTTTTTACACGGGGTTTGACAAGGTTAGGTTAAGGATCCCTAGCTTTATTGACAAGCTATTTACAGGTTAAGGATTCCTAACTTTATTGACAAGCTAAGAGCTGTTACCTACATCAGCTCATTTGAAAGCATTTTTATTGTTATGAAACATACAAGTAGGGAACAGGATGTATCTCTTAAACCTTTTATACCATATTATGTAATAAAATATACCTATTGGTAAAAAAGAATGAAAAGATGGGGTGGTAGGGGAAGTGGAATATTCAACAGGCTCAGGAAGAATCCATTAATAATTTCCTTGAATTTGTATACTTCTCCGAGTTTATGGTATAAATTTACACCAGAGGTGATTTTAGATAATATTATATTATTATATATATATATATATTTAATATAAATATAATATATATAATTATATATATAAATTATAAATATATATTATAATTATATATAATATATATATATATATATATAAAATATAATATATATTTTATTCTATATATTATAAATTATTATATATATATATTTAATATAATATATATATATATTATATATATATATATAATATATATATATATATATATATATTATATATATTATATATATAATATATATATAATATAAAAATATATATATAATATATATATTATATATATTATATAATATATATATATATTATATTATATATATAAAATTATATATATTATATAATATATTATATATATATATTTTATATATATATATATATATAATATATATATATATATATATATATTATATAAAATATATATATATATAATATATATAATTATATATATATATATATATTTTATATATAATATATATATATATAATATATATATATATTATATAAATATATATATAGATATATTATAATTATATAATATTATATATATATATATATAAATATATATATAATTATTATTATATTATATATAAAATTATATATATATATATATATATATAAATATATATAATATATATATAAAATATATATATATAACAACATTGCAAACTAGCCAAGGACTCGAACCCATGTCGTTTTGCTCCTGCCTCGTGGTGAACGAAAATCACACAATCCTATAAGAATCAAGCACCCAGCAGAGCTAGGCGTTCGACATGGGTTCAACTCCGCGGCTAGTAGCAGTGTTGTTACTGATTCAATACCACTCGTTTGTGGTCACACGATAAATACTGCTTGTGGAGGCTAGTACACCAAACGGGAATTAGAATGAAATTAGCTCAGAGGCACCCACACCACCGTATGTCCTTGGATCAAGGTAAAACACCTAGCTTTCCTGGGCACTTGATTCTTGTAGGATTGTGTGGTCCAGTGGGTTAGAGCGTCATGTGATTTTCGCTCACCACGAGGTAGGGCCAAAATGACATGGGTTCGAACCCTCGGCTAGTCGCAGTGTTGTTATCGATTCAATACCACTCGAAGGAGGGGTGTTAATGTCGCAGTTTAAAAACTGTAGTGTAAAGCACCCTTCTGGCAAGACAGTGATGGAGTGAATGATGGTGAAAGTTTTTCTTTTTCGGGCCACCCTGCCTTGGTGGGAATCGGCCGGTGTGATAATAAAAAAAAAAATAAAAAAAATGAAAAAAATATCTTTAAATGTGTAAGAAAATTTTAGAAAGGAGTTAATTTTCAATGAGCTCTTGCTAACTGACCAATTTTACCTATTCGGCACGACATATATAGGAGAGGGGGACAGGGACGGGACAAAGAGAGAAAGGAAAAAGAAAGTGGAGAAGTAGCGGGTTATTTGCGTATTGTTCGTCACGGTATTGTGCCTTTTTGTTCTTTTGCTTCTAAAATTTGAATTAACAGACATAAATTAGCTGTCACATTTACGACCTTCATTATCTACCTAGATTCACATTTTTACTGTTTGTATGAAATAAATGATAGCTCAATAAATATAGAGGCTTCAAGACTTCAACATCCTCCCATAAATTATAATGGGAATTACCATTATAATGGGAATTACCATTATAATGGGAATTACCATTATAATGGGAATTACCATTATAATGGGAATTACCATTATAATGGGAATTACTGTCTCAGGGACCTTAACAAGTTCATTCAGGCAGTTCCTAACAAGTCTGGCTGTGTGGTGTTTATGATGGACTACACGCAGCTAGCACTAATAGCTTGAGTGACCAAACCACCAGCCAGATCCGAGATTAGGCGAGGGGATGAAGACCTCTATAAATCCTCTCTCCAGGTAATCTTTCATTGTCTACCTTGTATCTTTCAAGTCATGGTCATATCACCTCTTCTACATTCCTTCATGAACGAGATCATGCTCCCAACACCCTCTGACCTTCACTCACAATCTCAGCCTCTACTAATCTCATTTCCTGATTATTATTATTACACTAACTGGTTAGTGTTGATGTCGGAGTTCGTTCTGGGAGTGAATCATAGTGAGGTAGAAATAACACTAATAAGTGGACTGTTATGCATGTATTAGCGGAGTAAGACGGAGCCCAGCCTTCTTGTGCGTCTGTCCCCGATCCTGGTCGGAATCTGAGGGACGGTTCCTGGGTGACAGCCTAGGCGGGCCGTTCAAGTGAAATCGCGTGACACTATACCGTGACCATAGTAACGGACAGAGGGACCCACATAGACGTGAATACATAAGCATATGTGCCACTGACACTGAACCCACAGGCCATACATCTGGTGAATTGTAGGCGATCAGATATGACCCGAGGAAAAATAGTGAAGCTTCAATTCCTCGAATCAGCATCAAGACACCCCTTTGAAGCGAGTCATCTCGACAAATCTCCGGTTCTCACAGGATAGCAGGACCTGACCCCTGCCCTAGTGTCTTTCTCTGCCATCTCACTGTGTAGTAGCCCCTGGGGAAGATTACATCTGGTATCACTAATAGTGCCATTGTTTCGGTGAGTGCCATGACGTCTGGGTACCACTTGGCTTGCAGATCTTGTACAAGATTCTATATCTGCATACGTTATGTATTCACGGTGAGTAGAGGATGACTAACTATATACATTACTGTGTATTCATGATGAAGGAGAATGTATCACACAAGGTGTATAATAACAAGTAATGTATACAAGGAACATGTGTGAAATGATTGTAAACCTTTCACTAGGATAAGTTGCAGTCGCTAGCAGTGGATAAGCTGCACTCACCAGCTGTGGATAAGTTTCACTCACCAGCAGTGGATAAAGCTCCTGGTGAGTAATAAGTATCACAACAAAGGATTCCTAAAGACTCGTGTATTTCTATTTCACAGCTACAAGAAACGGAGAGAAAGTTGGGGTCTAGTGTTAGTGTGATTTTAATGGGGGAGAGTGTGAGGACTGACTGGGGATATTATCTTCAGTGTAAGATGAGGAGAAAATAGGTGATGTAGGTGGGTAAAGTGGAAAATAAGGGAGTATATCACTGGAAGAAGGTTGGGATGGTGGTGGGGGTGGTTAGAGGAAGAGATGGAGTGGAAATAAGTCACTTGTGTGACTTTTTTGGGTAATCCTAGGTTCTCTATACATATGCTGCTGTGTATGATAATCAATGTAACTGCATTTGTGTATACCTGAATAAATTTACTTACATAAGGACAGGGAGGGGTAGCAGTAGGTGGGGAGTTAAAACGATGGTGGGGTATGGAGGTCCATGGGTAGAAGAGTAAACGCAAAAGGGAAGGAGGAAGAAAGAATGGGAGCTGATGAGGAGAGAGAGGAGATGGGAAAGGGAGATTTAGGGAATGGATGAAATGACTGTAATAGACACACATGAGGAATTAACTCAAAAGTCAGTTAAAATAAACAACGAA